AGAATGTTATTTGTTGAAAAAGATATAGTACTGCAGCTTTTGTTGAAGTAAACTCAATCCAGAAGGTCAAGGAAGGCAGCCACCAGTTGTCACCGCCCAGCCACCAATCGACCAGCCACCAGTCGCCAGCCACCGGCAGCCGGCCGCTTTCACACCGTCGGCCAAAAACCGCCGTCACACTTGAAGGATTTCTTTTCTTGTTTTGATTTCGTGTATAAATAGATAGCTAAGCTTATGCAATTATGTGTGGAGAGATTGAGAGAAACACTAGAGAGAAAGAGAGAAAGAAAGAGGGGTTGTTGTAAGCTTTTGTTTATGTTATTGTAAGCTTTGTTCTTGAAATAAAAGAGTGTGTTTTATCCCCTCCGAGTGTTTCAAAGCCACCACAAGTGGTTTCTCCCACCAACATAAACTACCCTGCATCTAACTTTATCTATAGCTCAGATTAAGGTTTAGTGAAATAGGACCCACGGAGCTGACAACATGGTTTAAGATTTGGCAAAAACTCAAGAACTCATGAGAGACTGAAAGAAGCTGCAAGAGATATTGAGCTGAGAGGGATACCATCATAATCTGTGAGTAAATGAGTGACTAAATCGAACCCCAAACCATCAAAAATCTTAAAAAACAAATCAGTAGCTGCCTAAACTTTTCATTTGCGAAAACTACATTTTTCAGGATAAAAATCTCATGTTTATATCAGATAATGCACTTTATATTCCATCATCTGGAGAATGTTGAAAGGCATGATGAAGACCAGTACATGAGGTCTCTGTTGAAGTAAACTCAATCTAGAAGGTCAAGGAAGGCAACCACCAGCTGTCACCGCCCAACCGTCCAGTCGCCGGCCGCTTTCACACCGCCAGCCACAACCGCCTTCACATTTGAAAGTTGAAAATTTTCTTGTTTTGAATTCGTGTATAAATAGGCAGTTAAACTTATGCAATTATGTGTGGAGAGATTGAGAGAAACACTAGAGAGAAAGAGAGAAAGAAAGAGGGGTTGTTATTGTAAGCTTTTCATTATTGTAAGCTTGTTGTTCTTGAAATAAAAGAGTGTGTTTTATCCCCTCCGAGTGTTTCAAAGTCACCACAAGTGGTTTCTCCCACCAACACTTGTTTGCTTTTATAGATTTTTGTGGTTTTTAGGGTTTCTAATAAGTCAAATCTATTTAACATTTCTAGATATGCTGTTTTTTCTTTTCTTTTTGTGTTAGATTATATCTGTTTTTTGGTGACTTAAGTATATATAGAGTGACTGTTTTATTCTATATTTCATCTTGAGCATTTGACTTCTTTCGTGATGCATAGAGGTAAATGTCGAGCGCTTTTTAGTGTTAGTTGCTTTCTGTTGATATTTTTATTTTTCAACTGTTTCGTCTGTTTCCATGGATCTTTTTTAATGCTTGTTTTAGAAAACTTTCTAAATGTGTCTTTGATTTTTTTAGTTTTGTGATTCATAACACTCTAGAGAGTCATTGATACATATTTTGAGCAAATGTGATATTTTTATTAGATAACTGGTTAGGAACTGAGTTCGATATTCTTGTTGTTGTGCACTATCTATCAATTGTATTGTGGTATGAAGAATGTCTTTGAAGGGGTTCATTTGTTATTGTGTTCTATCAGTTGTAAACTATTACATTTGCTCAAATCTAATTTATAATATATTATTTAGTGTTCTAAGTTAACAGGATTTGGAAACAATGTGAATTTGGAGTATTATCTTTGCTAGTAGTTTATATGCATTTTCTTTTCATTTCAATTTTGTGGCACCATCAAGCATAGGATAAATTGGTTAGCAATGTTATGTTAAAATATTGAGGATATGAACTAATATCTATGTGATTGATTTTAAAGATAGACCCTGCCAAGTACAAGAGCACCTCATCTGGTTTTGGAGTTCTGCTCAGGGAGCAAGGAGTGAGAGGCTTCTTCAGGGGTTGGGTGCCCACCCTTCTTGGTTACAGTGCTCAGGGGGCCTGCAAATTTGGTTTCTATGAGTTTTTCAAGAAGTACTACTCTGATCTTGCCGGGCCTGAGTTTGCAGCCAAGTACAAGACCTTGATTTACCTTGCTGGTTCTGCTTCTGCTGAGGTGATTGCTGACATTGCTCTTTGCCCCTTTGAGGCAGTGAAGGTTCGTGTTCAAACTCAGCCTGGGTTTGCTAGAGGTTTATCAGATGGACTTCCTAAGTTTGTCAAAGCTGAAGGCGCACTTGGGTATGCTTTATAATGGCAAGATTTTTTTTTTTTATTGTTGATTTTTTTTTTCTGTAAAGCTGTATGTCGAACTAACTTGTCATTTATTTCAGGCTGTACAAAGGTCTTGTTCCCCTCTGGGGTCGTCAGATTCCATGTAAGTTTAACATCTGCTTTACTTTTTTATAGTTATTTTAAGCTCTATTGGGCAAAGAAAGTCAGATTTTATAATTGTGTGCTTTTTACTGATCAGTACAATTGATTTTTTCAATTTTTTATGCTATTTTAATTTTTTTTGAACTGATACTATGACCATCTTATTTTTATAAATGTTGGAGTTTACAACATTATTTATGACAATAGTTTCTTTTGGCTTGTGAAGGACATTGCATTTTAGGTCATGGCTATATGTTTGATATGAGCTCTTCTTGTTAAGTAATTTTATTGTTTTTATTAGATGGGATGTTTTGATTAAACAACAAAAATATGTTGGTTTTCTATTTGTTTTAGTTAATTTTAATGTTCCATTTTTTTTTTATATCATCTCATATCCATCTTAATAGATAAAAAATTACTTGTGTCCTTATTTGTATTTTGTATTTCAATGGCATTTCTAACATGGGATTAACAAAATATTTAAGTTTTGTTTTTAAAGATAGCCTCACGTAAATAATAACTGTAACCAAACATTCACAGTGCTTTTTAATACAGCTTTCATTTCAGTGCTTGTGTGTACATTAGTAACAACGGCTTAATTTGTAAGCACAAGGCCTAGCAGAGCCAAGCTGCTTGTCAGAAGAACTTGTATAATGATCTGAAAGTGTGCATCATGTATTAAGCGTTTAGATTTTGGTAGAACTATGATTTTATTTGTTGAGGTATTTGTCTTTTCATGCTACCATTTAAGTTCATGGTTCATGGTTTTCCATCTCGCAAACCATGTGTGGTTTCATCTTGTGGTTTATGTGCAACACTAGCACTGAACCTTTTCTGTATTCGAGTGTTAGTTTTTTATAAGTTGCTATCTGTGTGACAATCTGACTTATTACTGGTCATATTAGTTGTTCTGGTTGTTGACAATGTTAACTGTTTTCATTGCAGATACAATGATGAAGTTTGCATCGTTTGAGACCATTGTAGAGATGATCTACAAGTATTCCATCCCCAAACCAAAGGACCAGTGCAGCAAATCTCTGCAACTTAGTGTTAGTTTTGCTGGTGGTTATGTTGCTGGCGTGTTCTGTGCTATTGTGTCTCATCCAGCCGATAATCTCGTATCATTCCTGAACAATTCTAAAGGGGCAACTGTTGGTGATGTGAGTACCTTCTTAAAGTGTATTCCCTGGAAAAAAATATTTTCTGGTCTCCTTTTTAACAGGGTAACTGTGATGCTGTTTGGTTCTGCAGGGTGTGAAGAAGCTAGGTTTGTGGGGTCTGTTCACTCGTGGGTTGCCTCTCCGAATTGTCATGATTGGAACTCTTACTGGAGCTCAGTGGGGCATCTATGATGCATTCAAAGTTTTTGTGGGATTGTAAGTATTTCCTATGATTATGAAGCTTTGTTGTGCCTTGATATGCGGTTTCATTGCTGCTAAAAGGATTCGATGTGTTTTTTTCAGGCCTACTACTGGTGGCCCTGCCCCCGCGGCTGCTGAACTTGCAAAGGTTTAAAGTTTCTATCAATTGACAGGTTGGTTTGTATCGATCTGATGGAACCTGGGAGAACATATAGGAAATAATAAAAATAGAAATGGAGCTGCTTTAGTGATTCCGAAGCTAACAGAGATTATTCTTTCACATTCAAAGACTTAGTCAATTTTTGTCATCTCGGCATCGGGGGATGGTTTTGTTCTCATCCTTCACAGATAATGAAAACTTTTGCTAGCTAGATCATATATGGAATTTCAGTTCGATGTTAGGATCACATCATCCCGCATCAGGGCAACCAAAATAACGGGCAGATAGGGAGGGGGGTGTATTTTGTCCTGTCCAAATTTCTGTCATCATCATCATTATTAATTATTTTGTTAATTTTATTATTACAATTGATTCGACGATTTTGTTGCCGGTTTTCCTTCAATGTTTAGTTGATGCCATACAAACATCGGTGACTAGCGAATTCCTCGCGGTTTTATATTGTTTTGTTGTCTACAGGGAGTCACACCTGTTGTGTATTTGATTTATGCAGCTTTGAGGGAAATATGGAGAAATTGCAGCAAAACAAAGCCATACAAAATTGGCTCTTATGCTTGTTCATTAAGTAATGCTGCGTCTTCTAGCGCGAACCCTACCACATTGGCCTTCGCCCCTGTTCTGTAATTAGTAATGGCTGGGTTCTCGAAGAACTGGGCAAACCGTGCAGAACCAGTGGCCATATAAGCTTATGACTGTCACAATGGGTTATTTTTTAAAAAATAAAAATTAAAATAAAAACTGGCAAGCAAACAGGGGAGGATTGTAAAAAATATATATAACAACCAAGCTGTAATTTTATAGAAAATTTAAGGTTTGGTTGTATCTTATTATGCTGTATCTTATTATGCTAAAAAATAAGGAAAAAATAATGCAAATTTAAGGTTAAATTAAAATATTATTAGATCAATGTGTATAAAAATTAAATTTAAGGATATAATTAAATTTTAATATGTTATTTTAATTTAATCATGGGCTAAATCAAATTTTAATTATGTTTAAGAATTAATTTGGATCCAATTAAAGGATTTAATTAAGTGCTAGGACTTAATTACACTTTAAATGGGTCAAATTAATTTTATTTAATTGGTGAAAAATTAAGTTTGGAAGCTTAATTGAGAAAATTAGAATTTTAAGTGACCAAATCTAATTTTTACTAAGTTAATTGATTGAAGTCAGAGATCAAATTGTAAAAAAATTGAAGTTTTGGGGTTAATTAGAGATTAAATTAATAAAATTAGTAGTTAAGAACCAATCTGCAAAAGACGCTAAATTATAAGAGCTTAAATGACAAAACATTCGAGGGTAAAATTAAAGAATTTGAAAGTTTAATAATTAATGAGGGGTGAAATTGTATCAATTCGAGACCAAAGACTACATTGCAAAAGGCATATAAACTTGGGGTTCCAATTGAAGTTTTGGCAGGGGTCTAAATTGCACTAAATCAAAGATTTATGGTTAATTATGTGTACAATTGAAAGGATGCGAAAGTAGGACTCAATTGAAGTTAGATAAAACTCATTTATTTACCCCAAACAACGTCGTTTTTACTTTATATATATATAAAGAGACCATAAGACTCCTAGTCACTGTCCATTGTTTTTCCTGTGAATGTTGCTTGGGTAACACTGTCCATTGTTTTTCCTGTGAATGTTGTTCGGGTAGCAGTTTTGTAGGTGCATTTAATGCCTCGTATGTCCCCCAAAATTGACAACAAATGCACCAAAATGGTCACCTAAAATCCCTCTATCCCCGAGTATGATTCATTCAGGCCTATAAACATCAAAATTGCTCCAGTAATTAGCCTAACATAACCAACTCGGGCAGTCTTGGACTGTCAGATTTGGTAGTTCAAGGTACACAATTTGAACCAACGGTTTGAATTTTTCTAGTCAAATCAAGGGCTTAAAAATTTCCTCAGCAAAGACAAGATTATCCCCTTCCACCCCTATAAATAGGATGTTTGGAGGAGAAAGAAAATTAGGTGTAAAGTTGACAAAAAATCAGTCTTTCTCCCCTATTTTCATCTTCTTTTGCTTTCTTCTTCTCAGCCGCACCTTTCACCACCACCACCATCCATCTTACTATAATATACATCACCATCAGACACTCAACAACCTCACGTGGTAGCTGCACCACCTCTCTCTCTCTCTCTCTCTATTCTCTATGAAGCTCTTTTCCCTCTCTACCACTACGACCCCAACTGTAGCAGAAACCACCCTTTCCAGCAGCTTCCACCCTTGCCAGTAGTAGTAGAGGCAACGATTCTCTCCTCATCTACTCCAACCATAAGCAACCCTAACACCAACCGCGATAGTAGCAACACCTACAATGTGAGTAGCAGCAACTTCGACGGCTCAACTCTTCACTATTGCCACCGCTTGCTCCACGTAATCCTCCTCGGTCAGACTACCCTCACATAAGGTAACTTTCCTCTTCCTCTTCCTCTTCTTCATGTTGTTCATTGCGTGAACAGTAGGCCTGCATTATAATTCATGCCATACTGTTCACATGAACAGTGAGCGTGAATTATAATTCATGCCTATTGCTCATACAGTGGATGTTGGGTCAGGTAGAGTTTGGCCTAGTCTAAATTTCTAGGCCATGCCCAGCTCGACCCCAAAAAAATAAATAAATATGTGTTGGGCTGAAATCGGCCCAGCCTTTTCTATAGTTGAGCCTGGCCTAGTTAGCTAGGTCAGTGATGTAACTGACACGACCGATAGTTTCACCCATATTTACCTAATGTTTTATCCATTTTTTATATGTAAAATGCCTTGATATTCTTTGTTTTATGTTTTGAAGGCACTTTTGGATGAAAAATGCAAAAAGGAGTAAATTGGAGATAATTGGCAGATTTGACGTTCAGTCGATGTTTTGTGCAGAGCGTGAGTTCTAAAGATTGAAATAAAGTGATCCCAGTGGATATAAAAAGCTACCATCCATACCTTTCTGGAAATGTAATGCAAGAAAAATACAAAGAGGAAGATCATGGAAATCACATCCTTCAAAGTCAAATCTCGTATTCTGCCACTGTTGACCTTTGTCCATTCAAAATTCCATATCTGGAGCTATAGAAATCCAATTGATGCAAACTCAATTTTGTTGGATTCATGACTCAAAGGTCTAGAAACGCTCCAATTTTCAGCCAAAAACGATGTCAGATGAGGGCGATATGATTTTTCAAAGATGACAACTGAATTCTGCCAGCAATCAGGTTTCGTGAAGAAATGAGTCCAAATTATGTTTCGAAGCTTCTAAACTATCATCCAAGTTATAATTTCAGCAATTTAGCCCCTCTAGTAAATCAATCTAGAAGGTCAAGAAAAGTAGCCACCAACCTCAATCCACCAACCTCAAATCACCAACCACAAACCAGCTGCAAGTTGGAATGCTGCCATTGTCAAAGAAGGAGGCTACAATGGTGGGTTGTTTGTGGTGACTACTAATGTCAAAGTTTGGCAAGTTTGGCAGCCACCATTGTTGATAAAGAAGCAAGAGGAGCTGCCATTGAAGCCTATATATAGACATCAAGAGAGCCAAGAAAGAGGAGGAGGGAGTGCAATAGAATCAAAGAAAGGTGGTAGCAACTAGAAGTGAAGAAACACAAACTCTCCTCTCTACATACTAGAAATAATGCTTTCTTTTATCTTTAGGAGTAGTTGTTCAATAGATATGCAAGGCTAAGCTCTTTTCTTGGTTGCAAGGACGCAGAAACTTTCAGATTTCAAGAACTGTGAGATTTATTCTTCATTTATTTTCAGTTTGTATTATGAATGAGTATGATTGTTTTCCTATGCATGTTTTCTATGATTGTTGTTGATAATTGCTAGAGCGGACTCTAAGTTATTATTGTGAACAATCTATTGCTAAGTTTGGTATCAAAACCGGAGTTAGGGTATATAAACTTGTGAAGCAACTAAGCTTGATAATTGTGGCGGAACTACGTTATTTCTACTAATTTTGCATAATATTGGATTGTATATTTACACTGTAAAACACAAATATGGTATTAAAATACTTGATTTTCTATGAAATATCTCAAAAAAAATATTTTAATGCACACGACCAAATCCTAAAAAACTTTTCCAAGCATATTTTCACTATTTTTTTTTTTGCATCTTTCTCATGTTCTAAAAATAAAAAAAATGGATGTCATAACCAATTTACATCAATCTTTTAGTCGTGTCAATAACCAATTTATGATAATCCATTAGGGTTTGACCAAAATATCAAAAATGTTTTTTGTCCAACTTTTTTAAGATCTATATGTAGACTTTGATGTTTTTGGGTGTAAAATTACACGATAAAGTACACATCAACTATTAAAGATATAAGGTGTAAATATATATGATGCTAAAATTTAGACCTTAAAATGGTTAGAATTTAACCCAATAAGGTAAAGAGTTTTTCTATGAAGAGAGATCTACCTTGAACCTTAGAAAAGACCAACAAGTAGAAACCTGATTAAAAAAAAATGATCAAATAATAATGCAGCTTATCCTAGGTAGGGTGCATTGAGGGTGATGCGTCTCTTCCTTGCACAACTAGTCTCTTACCTAGACTCTCGTAGACCATAGGTTCCTAGTGACCATAATACTAGATGATGACTCCTAAATATTAATCATAATTTTATGATTAAATTCAAAATCCTTTCCAATACACAACACCTCACATAGAAGAAACGACAAGAGCCTCTACCATCATGACACGACCCTGTGATAGTGACCATGAGGGAAAGTGATCCTATTTCCAATAGACATGAGTTTCCAGGGCTTGAAGGTGGAAAGTGACTCCATCGTTCTTCTAGACATGAAGAAAATATAATAAAAGTTTTTTTAAAAATACATATCAACCATTAAATTAATGGGATCTACAAGTAGGCATAGTTTAAGATCATGATCTAATAGCATTTGTATTTTTAGAGTTCTTTCTTATAATGTTTTCTAAATGTTTAATATTATTGTCAACAAAATCAACCCCTCCAAACAAGAAGATCTCTATGTTTATGGTTTGATATTCTTTTATTATATTATGAATAAGTATGGTTGTTTTCCTATGCATATTTTCTATGATTGTTGTTGATAATTGCTAGAGCGGAACTCTAAGTTATTATTGTGAACAATTTATTGCTAAGTTTGGTATCAAAACCGGAGTTGTGATGTATGAACTTGTGAAGCAACTAAGCTTGATAATTGTGGCGGAACTACATTATTAAACTTAGGGAGAACACTCAAATATCTAGTTCTTAGGGCTGTCATTGAACTAAATCATTAATGTGGACATTGTGATTGTTTGTTGGTTAGGGTTAGTTATACGGCGGATCCGTTAATTAACCAACATTAAGAAAAGATAAAAATTCAGAATATAAATTGTAGTTTTGTTTCAAGGATCGGTTCTAATTTCCATTGGTGGATGTGTGCTTGCAACCAAGAAAAGAGCTTAGCCTTGCATATCTATTGAACAACTACTCCTAAAGATAAAAGAAAGAATTATTTCCCGTATGTAGAGAGGAGAGTTTGTGTTTCTTCACTTCTAGTTGCTACCACCTTTCTTTGATTCTATTGCACTCCCTCCTCTTCTTTCTTGGCTCTCTTGGTGTCTATATATAGGCTTCAATGGTAGCTCCTCTTGCTTCTTTATCAACAATGGTGGCTGCCTAACTTGCCAAACTTTGACATTAGTAGTCACCACAAACAACCCACCATTGTAGCCTCCTTCTTTGACAATGGCAGCATTCCAACTTGCAGCTGGTTTGTGGTTGGTGATTTGAGGTTGGTGGATTGAGGTTGGTGGCTACTTTTCTTGACCTTCTAGATTGATTTACTAGAGGGGCTAAATTGCTGAAATTACAACTTGGATGATAGTTTAGAAGCTTCGAAACATAATTTGGACTCATTTCTTCACGAAACCTGATTGCTGGCAGAATTCAGTTGTCATCTTTGAAAAATCATATCGCCCTCATCTGACATCGTTTTTGGCTGAAAATTGGAGCGTTTCTAGACCTTTGAGTCATGAATCCAACAAAATTGAGTTTGCATCAATTGGACTTCTATAGCTCCAGATATGGAATTTTGAATGGACAAAGGTCAACAGTGGCAGAATACGAGATTTGACTTTGAAGGATGTGATTTCCATGATCTTCCTCTTTGTATTTTTCTTGCATTACATTTCCAGAAAGGTATGGATGTTAGCTTTTTAGAGCCACTGGAATCACTTCATTTTGATCTCTAGAACTCACACTCTGCACAAAACATCGACTGAACGTCAAATCTGCCAATTATCTCCAATTTACTCCTTTTTGCATTTTTCATCCAAAAGTGCCTTCAAAACATAAAACAAAGAATATCAAGGCATTTTACATATAAAACATGGACAAAACATTAGGTAAAAGTGGGTGAAACTATCGAATAATATGGTTACATCAAATAATACAAAGATTCATAAATGAAGGCTCAAATCCAATCTAAGCTTTTTACGGCTTTCCTTAGTTGACCAATTTATGCGACTCATGGAAAGATCAATTATAGTAATGAAAAATTGTAGTTGGTCAATCAATTGTTCAGTAGTAGCAGCAGAGATTATGATTTATCGTGCAGAAGATGTTAGAAATTCCTGTTCCACAGCATGATCAAGAAAAGACAACAACTTATCATAATAACCATTAACATTTAACAAACCTATGGGTTTATGGTGAATGTGCAATTGGGCCCAAGAGAAAATATGAAAGATCTCTTCCAATGTGCCTAGACCACCTGGTAAAGCAATGAAGGCATCAGCGGGAAAATACTTTTTTAATTTTTCAAGATTAGTGTTCATTTTCAAATGAGAATTGGAAGAGAGATTCAAAGAATTGCACAAATATATACACAAATATCAGTTATTATAGGAAACTGAAAGAACCGACTTAAGTCATGGAGTACCGTTGTCCGCCATTTGACTGGGTGAGAGAAACTAGCAAAAATCACTCAAAAAGAAACACAAAAACAATGTGAGAAAAACAAAATAAACAACCTTTATCTACAAGATCATTCAAACCAGTTGATTCATTTTCACTAGGAAAATTATCAAAGTAAGCTTTCAAACGATGTCCATTTTCCTTAAAATCATTGTCATTCATTGAATTCTCAATATCACAGACCCCATAAGGATTGCTCCATCTTGATCTTAGCTCTCTAAGGAATGCATAGAGTTGAGAATTATAAAACAAAACTTTTTGACCAGTATCAACTTTTTGACAATTTTCACAAGTTTTCCAGAATGCATGTGTGTCCTTGAACATGGTGGGCCAATAAAATCCATTTTGAAAGATTTTTATAGCTGTCTTTTTTGACAAGAAATAAGTTCCACATGCTTCAGAATGACAAAGTTTAATGACACTACTTACCTCATTGTCAGGAATGAATCTTTGAAATATTTGATCAGGACAATATTTGAATAAGTTAGGGTCATCCCAATAAAAGTTTTGCATGTTGCTCAAAAATTTTCTCTTGTCTTCGGTACTCTAGTGAGCTAGCAAAAATCCTGAAGTAAGAAAATTGATATTTTTAGCAAACCAAGGCATTGAACTAAGAGAAAGTAGAGATTCATCAGGAAATGAATAATTGATTGGTGTGATGTCGGGTGTCGAATCTGTTGTCACTTTTGAAAAAAGATCCGCATCAACATTTTCGGTGCCTTTTTCATCATCGATGTCTTCCTGATTGGTCATGGCATGAGGAAATGGAAGTGCTGGCAGGGAATCAGTCTTTTCCTTGCAATATTCAGATTCAACCCCTTCCTTACCCTTAGAGATTGACTCATATCTTTCTCACAAGGTTCAAGAGTGGGTTTTTTAATAACCTTACCACTACGAAGAGTGATGATTGATTTGACTTGATCCATGTGTTGACTTCCAGAACTACTTGCATTTACATTATATTGCCCCTTGGGATTTTACTATGGTTGAGATGGAAACTTACCTTTCTTTTGAAAATTGAGAGCAGATGTGAATTTTGCAAGAGTATCTTTAAAATCTGTTATGCTTTGAGCAAGTTGAGTGTTGATTGTCTCTTGCTTTTCAATGAATGCATACAAAGTTTCCTCAAAATTTCTTGTAGGAAGTGGAGCATAAGGAGGTT